GCGTATCTTCAGATTTAATTAAACTAATGATTATCATATTGTAGAAATGCATAAGGTCCACTCCAAGATATAATCTAAAATTTCTGAACTGTAAGACTAAAGAGAAGTTCTGCATACTTCCACAGAAGGGAAAAAAATCTATAATAGAATCAAAGCACCATGAGTAGAATCAGGATTTTTAACTTTACTTCAAATACTAAGAAGGAGCCTCTCTGGTGGTGAAAGAGTTTAAGTCTCTGTACCATGAACCTGTGCACAGCCACTACAGCATAAATTCAATCCCCAGCAAGGGAGGTGACTCACATCACACAGTAGACCTCTCCTGTATGGCCCCTACTCCCCTCAGCACTGTACTTTTGTCAATCTGCTTGTTCTGCTCCCCACTCTGCCTCAGGTGAATCCTCTCACTCCCAGCACTTCTGGCCTATACCCCAGCTCTTATATGCAAAAATAATTTTTTTTTAAATGCTAAGATATAGTGAAAACTATTTTCATAGTTTCTAGTGTAAAAAAATTTCTATACTCAAACTATTACATGTGTTTGGGCAAAGTAAAATTGTCATGACATGAAAAAAGAGAAGGAGTAGAGGAAGAAAAAGGGAGAGAGAAGACAAATAGGATAACCAAGCAATAGTGTAATGATATGGAGTCAAAAATAAAAATAAATGAAATTTTTAGTTAAGTCCAAATGAATGCTGAAATGTGTCTGCGACATTTAATACATTTGTTACAAAGTGTTCCTAAAGTATTAAAATTTTGAGAGGCAAAATATAATAAAAGCTAATAACAATAATCTGGAGAGCACAATTAAATTTCTTTTGAGAGCACAATTAAATTTCTTTTATAGACTTTGTAATTTGTTCAAGGAAAAGGATAGAGATGATGATGAAATCACAATAAAATTTTAATATACTTTTCTATATTTAACCACCTTCTATATTATTTTAAGTTCTGGGGCTTTCTAAAATTATATCATCCATAAATTAAAGTAAGTCTTAATCTCATAATTGTTATAAATTAAACTTTAAGCACTAAAGTAACAGAAGGAGAAATTTCTAGCACCAGAAGATGAAAAAAAAACAGAAACAAAAATATGTAAATAAGTTGACAGAATCAGGAATGGAAAGGAAAAAAAAAAGTAAATGTAGAATATAAAAAAATGTGGAAAATTATTATTACTACAATACTTCCACAATAATTAGTTACAACTACTACTAATGATTCATTAGTAAGGAATGCATACAAATGTATTAAATGCTACTACTAAAAAAATCAAGGCTCATATTGGGCTATACGTACACACATGCATGCATGAACTACAAACTTTAAGAGGGACATAACTAAAACAAAATGTCATAAACATGTTGAGAATAAAGAGATGAATATATAACAAGCAATATTAAAACATGAAGAAAAACAGAATTTTACATAATTGTGTTAGATATTGCATACATAAGCATAGATACTACACACATATGGTATAGATATGTGTATTTGTTACTGTGCATAGGATGTATAAATTACATACATGTAACACATGGTAAGTGTGTCAACTTTATAAATGAATTCTTTTTGTACATGTTGGGTAAAATAAAGGCTATATTATATATCTATTTTACTTTCAACCTGATTTTATCTAAAGAAAAGTCCTTCCTAGAAAAAGAACAACAGATAATATGGAAGAGAACTTAAGGAAAGATTAAAAAATTTAGAAATTTTCTTAGAAAAAATTTTAAAAATTACTAAGGGGCCCTCCCTGGTGGCGCAGCGGGTTAAAACACAGCACAAAATAAGCTTAAACCAGTTCTGCATGAGTTCAATTCCCGCCTGCCCCGGAGGTGATCCACATGCGAGGCAGACCTCTCCTGACGAGCCCGCTGCTCCCCTCAGCAGTGTACTTCGTCGATCTTCCTGTTCTGTACCCAACTCTGTCTCTGGTGAATCCTCTCACCCTCTGCATCTCTGACCTGTACCCCAGTTCTGTACGAATAAATAAATAAAAATCTTAGAAAAAAAAATTACTAAGAAAAAAAGAAATAGGAAGTTAGTAGAGAAGCGATCTAAATTATCTCAATGTGTATTCTACCATAATTCCTGTCAATAAACGAAAGGTTATGCATACAGAATCATGTCAAATCTGAGTATTTAATACTAGAAAAATGGAGAACGCAATTATTGAGATAAAACAAAAATTATTTCAGTTGATGATAAAAACTTACTAAGACAAAAAATATAAATATATAAACCTTAGCTCAATAGTAAAAAGAAGTATTTATTATTGCAGATACTGCCATTATAAAGAGGTGCAAAGCAAAAATCAGAACTATCACACTATCATTATTATCTGCTCTGGGTAAAGCATTAAAATATAAAGCAAGAAGAAGATAAACAGCCAAGATAATATTAAACTGAAAAGCTTCTGTACAGCAAAAGAGACATTAACCAAAACAAAGAGACACCCTCTGATTGGGAGAAAATTTTTGTACTCCACAGAACTGATAAGGGACTGATCATAAAGATCTACAAAGACCTCAAATGACTCAACAAAAACAAAGTCACCAATGGTAAATGTGCCCCTTTCCCACCCCCCCCACCCCTACAATTTACTAAATAATTGTGATACTATATTTGTCTTTAGTCACTTACTGTTCACCATCACTTACTATAAGAGAAATAGAAATCATAACCAGGATGCGATACCACCTCACACCCATGGGACTGGCCCATATCAGAAAGAACAAAAACAAGTGGAACATTCTTACACTATTGGTAGGAATGTAAACTAGTGTATCTCCTATGGAAAATAGTATGGGAAATGTTAGAAATAGTAAAAATGCATCAGCCACATGATCAAGCATTTCTATTCCTAGGCATCCACCTAAAGAATGCAAAAACATTAACTGTACTCCTATATTAACTATAACACTATTTATAATAGCCAACCTAAGAAACCAACCTAAGTGAGCAGAGATATGTAAGTAGATTAGGAAAATGTGGCATATGTACTGAATGGTCTATTACCCAGCTGTAAAAAAGGATGAACCCTTTTTGCAACAATATGGATGGAACTGGAGGGACTTATGCTATGACAAACAAGTGAGAAGAAGAAAAACAAAGTACTGATGGTATCACTTATATGTGGAATGTAGAGAAGCAAAACAAAGGTCAGAAAACCAACAACCAATAACAAAATGTAAAAATCTAACTGTAGAGTTGAGGTTATCAGAGAGGGATAGGAGGAGGGCAAAATGGGGAGTGAGTACAATGTACTATGGTGGGGGACTATGGATATCTTAGTGGTGGGTATCAATTGTAGGGGGTGATCCTATACCTGTAAATCGTATACAATGCTGTACATCACTATTATCTCATGAGAAAAGAAAAGCTATTAATAATAAAAAATCATAAGCAAAAGAAAATGGCAAAAGGCATTTTAAAGAGGGTATTTATAAGATAAATAAGAATGAAAAGTTGTTTGATATGATTAAACACTAGGGAAATGCAAATTAAAACCACAGTAAGGTATTAACTATACACATAGCAGAATGACTAATGAAAAACAGCAGTAACACCAAATGCTGGTTAGGATGCAAAGAAATTGGATTACTCATACACTGCTAGTGGCAATATAAAATGGTATAGCCACTTTAATAAAGAACATGGCAGCTTCTTACATTAGTTACATTTATTACAGAAGTTATATTCATTATTTAGAATGAACATGCAATTTCTTCAATAAAACAAAGAGACTCGAGAAAATCCACATAACAGAAAATGACATAGTATAAAAATCAACTTATTTTTTAATAGAAAGACTGAATATTACTAAATGTACTACCACTTAAATATATATTATTTCTATAGTCCATTGTTAGATATAATTCCAATCACAAATTCAAAGAAGTGTTTGGGAACTAAATTAAGCAAGAATACCAAGAAACAAAAGATAAATTTCTCTAAATTCATTAATTTTTTGCACTGTCGCTCATTTTTGTACAATATTTGATTTATCCCCTCAGGTTTAATCTCCACAGTTCTCCCACCACCATATTACCAGTGAATCATTACTAGGCCCTTGTGTTCTTACTGTCCCTGCTTTGACTCCTCTTCTTCCTGCTCCTCGAATTTATAGTCAGTTTGCAAGTTTTGTCTTCCTTTTTGACAGTTTGTTTGGTTTCTCTATATTCGACACTTAAGTGAAAACATCCAGTATTCAGCTTTTCCTTCTTATTTTGTTTAGCATAAGAAAGGATACATTTTTACAAGGATTATCACTTAGGAAGGACTATTACAAGTATTATAAAGAAGCCTCCCTGGTGGCTTAGGTGTTAAGTCTCAGCACTCATCATTGCTGCAGCCTGAGCCTGACCCCCTGCCAGGGAGCTGACCCACATGTAGAGTAGCAGACCTCTTCTGTCTTGCCCACTGGCTGCTCCCCTCAGCAGTGTATTTCAGTCAGTCTACTGATGCATCTGATGCATACTGATGTCTCTGATGCATCCTCTCACCCTCTGCACTTCCGGCCTACACCCAATTTCTAAAAAAAAAGTTTTATAAAGTACTACATGTAAAACGGTACCACAAGAAAAACAGATCAATGGAGACATCAGTCCTCCTACTCGCCTATGACTATGTCTGTGTTTCTCTTCACCACCTTCCCCTTTGCAAAGGGGAAATTATTACATGAATGAAACATAGAAGACTAATGTAATTATAAAAGATCAAGATGAATACGAAAGCTATTAAAGAATAATTTATATAGCTAGTGGAAAACCACAAAGGAGGAAATACAGTTAAACACATAGTTAAAAAAAAAAAAAAATCAGCCTCAAAGTGAAAACCTATTTTGGGCATCATATAATTAATACTTTTTAGTATTTTGACAGGTCTCTATTTTGTTAATGGTAAGATGCAAAAGGTTACTTCATTCCTCATTTTCAGGAATAAACTGGTATAGTAATATGCAAATCTGGATCCAGAATCTTTAAATGTTCACCAACCTCTGACTTAGTAGTAATTCCACTTCTTGTAATTAATCCTAAGAAAATAAAGAATTATCTTGTTATCTTTATAACTTTTCTTTCCACATTTTAAACATTTTAAATGTGTCTTATAATTCTTGGAACCTTACACTAATGGATTTTTTTCTTTCTTAGTGATACATGAAAATATATTAACTTATAGTCAATGATTACATATATTTAATGAAATACACTATATGGCCATGAAAATGTTTTTATAGAGTGTAGAATATATTAAAAATGCTATTAAAAATAGTATCCCATATTACAGAACACAACTACAACTATGTAAAAGCAAACAAAACAAATACAACAAACCTATATGTGGAAAAATAATTTTTAAATTAATGGTGATTGCCTCTGGATAGTTGGCTTATGGATGTTTAATTTTCTTCTTCCTTCAAGTTTTCTATTTTTTCCAAACTTAACAGGCCACTCAAATGCTTTTATAATGGCAACCTCTTATATACAATAATTTTAATGACTAAACAACCATTTTTTAGAGTTCAATTTGTGGAATATTTGATCATATTTTTCAAAGTATTAGTGAAACAAATATGAGTTCTGTTACTCTAGCTATAAAGTTTCAGAGAGTAGTGCTTGGCTCACATCCTGGAGAGAAAGCCAAGAAAGATTATTCAGTTCTGTTCCCAGGGAACTCTAGCCTTTCAGATTTTGTAGTATGTTTTGGCAGGATTAGCTTTCCAAATACACAGTAAAATATTTCATATTCCCTAACTTACATGTGAAGGACAGTAAAGATGGCCCAATGTTAATCACTCAAGTGAGTCATATATAAGTATGTCCAGTGCCTTATGTGAAGAGGGATGAAAAGAAAAGTTGGGAGTAGAGCTCCTATAGGGTATGAAATGCCATCATCATTGTTGTTTTAAATACTTTTTTAAAGATTTAATTATGCATACAAAACTTGGGGTACAGGCCAGAGGTCCAGGGGTGGTACAAGGATTCCCCAGAAGCAGAATGGGGAGCAGAACAGGCTGACTAACAAGGCACACCGCTGAGGGGAGCAGCCAGAGAGCTGCTCCATGTTGTGCCATGTGGATCACCTCTAGGGCCAGGGATCAAATTGGCACTGCAGCGGCTGTGGCTAGCTTGCAGTGCTGTGTCCTAAGCCCCTGGGCCACCAGGGAGGGCCTGTTTTAAATATTTTAAAGGGGAATAATGTCTACCTGTAGGTGGCAAGAGTATTTACAGGTCTTTATGTCTAAACTCCAACTATGTGCTGTTCAATAATAGTTCTAATTTCAAAGGTTTCCCACAGAAGTTTGAGGACATGGGAGATTTATCTCTGAATCAACAAAACTAAGATTTCCATAGGTCAAACCATAAAAAATATCAATTGCCAACAACTCAAGGGTAAACTTTCTTTTCCTTCACATGCTTAACTTTACTATCAAACACTGAATGAGAGGAGCATTCCCCAGAATTTTCCCTAGATTTCTAATTTAAACTTAAACCACAGATGCTTCTTGATTAATTAAAAATAAAATAAACCTATCACTACACTGAAAAATTCGGAAAACTCCAGTAGTTATCATTTTTTATCTCTACTTATCTCTTAGGGATCAGACAGGACTAATACAACCAAAAGTGCATCGTGGCAAATAATTGGACCTATAAAATTCTTTCTAAAAAATCAATGGGGGTCATCCCTGATGGCACAATGAGTAAGGACGCAGCACTGCAAGCTAGCAAAAGCCACCTCAGTGCGAGTTCAATCCCCGGCCCTGGGGAGGCCCCAGGCCTCTCCTGACCAAACCATGGCTCCCCTCAGCAGTATGTTTTGTCCATCAGCCAGTTCTGCTCCCTGCTCTGTCTCGGTGAATCTTCTCACTGCCCCTGTACCTCTGGACTATACTCCAGTTCTGTATGCATAAATAAATCTTAGTTAAAAAATAAAAGTCAATGGGGGCCCTCCTACGTGGCGCAACCGGGTTAAAGGACAGCATGATGAAGCTATCTGCAGCCACTGCAGCACAAATTTGATCCCTGGCCAGGGAGCTAACCCAGATGGAGTGGCAGACTTCTCCTGTCCTGCTCGCTGACCCACTCAGCAGTGTATTTCAGTCAATCTGCCTGTTCCGTTTCCCACTCTGTCTCTGGTAAAACCTCTCACCGCCCCACTCCCCCACCTCTGGCCTATACCCCAGCTCTTGTACGCATAAATAGATCTTTAAAAGAAAATCAGTGGGACAGAGGTTATATGAATGTTTACATTTGTCAATAGTCATTGATCTCTTCTCTTAAATGGATTCATTTGATGAATATAAATTTCAAAACTAAAAAAGTATACCTAAAAGTTCCACTGTATTTGCAGTACCCTAACAGCTTAGCCTTCTCCTTTCCCCCCACAACTTGCAAAATCTTAATTTGGAATTGTAATTATGGAGATTTAAAAAAAAATCATAAACCATATCATATGGTTATATGTATTATGACACCAAATTACAAAACACTTTATTATGTATACTAAAGTATTCAATCAATCAATATCTTCGATTTTTCAACAACTTTATTTAAAATAGATATCCTAAATGTAATCAGAAGATATGGTAATTGAATTTTGACTTTGAATTTTGACTCCCTTAGAAGTGAGTGAAAATCAGTAGACAATAAAGTACAAATAAGGTCTTTCACCGATCACTCATTTTCTCAGTTCAAAATGACTAAAAAGTATTTTGTTTTGATAAGTTTTATTAACTGAGCTTAAGAGACATTTTCTAAAAATGATTAATTTGCATAGAAATGGAAAATTTGTGAGAAAGATTTATGTATCCACATTCATCTAGAAGCCCAGATTAGACTTATATCACAATAAAAACTTTCGCAAAAAGGGAAATAGGTACTTCAGAACTGCTCCTTAATTCTTATTATAACCACTGAAAGAATTGTAAAATATAATTTAAATAGAATAAAATAGGAAGATATAAACTAATATATGTTATAAATAACAATCTTGTGGACTACTGTTACAGAATGCAAAACAAAAACAATAACTTCATTTATCAGATTTATAGTAATATCTCTGTTAGCAGCTCCATCCAGTTGTTAGAGCTAAAATTTTCTGCATCACTTAGCTATTTGAGGTTGCCAATGAGTGATTACTTTACATGAAAACTTCACAGCATCAATTTGTAGCAGAGATGTGAATGAAGCTTAGGTCATCTCAAAACTTAGTATCTGTCATGAGATTATCCAATGAATCAATGAAATCGACAAATGATTATTTTTCAAAATAGAATTATCGAGGGGCACTCAATTCATTTTTTAGTTTTTCCTATAAGCATCTACTTATTATACATAATAATCATAAAATTTTTATTTACTGCTATGAGTATTCAGACAATTTAATAGTTATAGTGTGAAATACAACTTTCAAAGCTTCAATTAGCTCCAGTGCTTGTCTACAAACTGTGTATTTATAAAAACAAGGAAGAGTAAGGATGAAAGTGATTCAGCTAGTTATCTCTTATCCTACAGTCTTTCAGGTTTGTACACATTTTTCTGGTTGTGGAGGTTAATATAATACTTAATACTCCCAAAGTTGATAGAGAATAGATGAGTTTCTACAAGAAAATTTAAAAAGTCACAAAACTTATAAAAGTATATTGTCTCATTTACAAATCGTAAAGTTTTTCCATAAACCAGTATTTCACTATTAATGGAATACTATATAGACCATAATTTAAAAAAATAGTAGTAGAGTTTCAAAAGATTTTTCCTTTGCTAAGGGAATGTCAGTTCAATATTATTTTTAAGTCTCATTATAAATACATATGTACACAGACATATAAACAGATACTCAGATCTCAGAAATAGAAAATTATCCAAATTATTCTACCTTATTTTATTTAATCATCTAATAAACATTTATCAAACATTTATATTCCATAAAACTATTTGAAATCACTATTTTTCAACTATGACTTGAAAGATCTAATCAGAAAAGTTGTTACTACAACTCATTTAAGTATATTCTGCATTTTTTATCTTATTACATGTTTAGTGTATTACTTAAAGAAACTTAGGGTGAGTATAACTACATAGGTCACATTTCTTCACATGGATCCTACTAAGCAAATAAAAATACATTACTCTTCTGAGTTCTACTTGATATCCTTCTTCAAAATGTCCCATGTACTCAAGATATCTAGCTTTTAAGTATCTTCCCTGGTCGCATTCCCTATTCATTCAGTACTGTCACCAAGTTTTACCAAGGAGTTTTTTTCCCTATTAATAGGCCTATTCTTTTCTACTATTGTTTTGTTTCTACAATTCAATCAATTCTTCCTCCTAAGAAGGCAGGTGTATTAAATCTCTTTCCTTTTTTGGATACCTTGGAAAAACTACTCAGTTCCATTTTGTGACTCAAATAAAAATCATCACCTAGTAAACCATTTAATAGGTAACCAGTTGTGTGCCAAACACTGGGCTAGAGCTCAGAAACAGCTCATAAGCATAAAAGCAAGGGCTACAAACATTCCTATAGCAAGAAAAATAAAAATTACTGATTTAAATGTGAGACAAGATCTCATTAGCATTACAATCAATTCTTAAAGTACCTAGAAATTCTATGTATAAGCATACTTCCAAATAGCTATCCAACTCACTAAATTTGTTTTTCTTCAAGCATTACATTTGGGAGATAGGAAAATGTCTTTTCAATATAATTGTTTTTATACTCAATTTTATTACTAGAATTTATTTTATTTTTTATTTTTTTTCAGGGTGGCAAATTTTTTTTCTATAATGTGAGTAAAAAATATTCTCTGCAGAAAATAAAATCCAATAACCATTTGTTTCCCAAAGAAGATGAATCCAAAGCCCAAAACCACACTTAAGAAGTTAATTTATGAAACATAAGGATTTATAGAGATTATTCTCTACTTCTATATTTAATTCTTATGGGCTCAAGTCAGGTAATAACACTGAATTACTAGTTTAAGATAAAAAACTAATCTGAAAATTGTGAAGCTGTTTGCAAATCTTCCATCAGTTTTAAGAAGGACTAAAAGTACAGAGTTCTGTAGATAAGTAAAAGTTATTTTGTGATATTGTCTTTACTACTGACTTTTAAGTGTTATAATACTGGTTCAGAAAAGCTTTCCACAGGGCTTTTGCACAATGGGCAAAAAAAAAAAAAAAAAAAAAAAAAAAACTGGATCGGAAGAGCACACGTCTGAACTCCAGTCACTGCTCGACATCTCGTATGCCGTCTTCAAAAAAAAAAAAAAAAAAAAAAGAGAAAAAGAAAAGAAAAGAAACTTCACAAAAACCCACAATACAAAACCTGTTCTACAGGCTTCTACACAGAGGAAATAATAGAGCAAGTACAGCCATTTTATATTATGTCTAGATATAAACTCTTTTAATATGTTTACTGACACTGCTGAAGTTTGTACTTCAGCTAAGTTGAGCTGTCTTACAGGACTTACTTGAATCAATAACTCAGAACATATTTTTTGAAGCTGGTAGAAAACAGATTAGAAACTTTGCTTAGCACGGTGATTCTTTATGCAATGACTCAGTTGAGCAGCTAACACTATAAACTTCCTTCCTCCCACAGAAGAATGATTATATGCCTTCCATGGATTCCTTTTAAAAAAGACATAAAATTAGCATACACTCTTCTATATTATGATTGGACAAATAAAAGTTTTTATTGAAAATGAATACATATTTTTAAGAGTTTATTCTTCTTTGCTCTGTTGCTTTCATACATGTGTACGTGTGTGTGTATAAAAAGTTATAGGAGCCCCATCAACAGAACAATATTATATGAGCTTATGAACAATATGAACAAACACTGCTTTATTATTTAATTTGTAATCCATGTGCATTCATATCATTTCAAATGGTACGTTTCCTACATAAAAAAAAAAAAATGCCTGATTTTCATTTTCATCACAGAACTTTCCCAAAAATCATGTCAGTTATTAGATCTAATATGTTAGGCATTCAACATTTAAATTTTAGATTCTTTTAATTAAGGATATCATTAAGACTTCTATTTGAATTGTGAGGGAATGCTGTACCTCATAGTAATTGATGATAGCAAACATCACAGTAATAATTTTAAATGCATTGATGATAAGCAGATAAAAAGACTAATTCTGAATTCTCACACAGAAAGAGAAACATAAATAATGGTATATTGTCACTGTTCTTGTTTTTGGAGACTCTTTGAAAATAAAAACTCATTTCCAAAATAAGATATTCCATAGACACAGAACAGTTGGTAATGGTTCAAGTGCCTCAGGCAACAGAGAAGTATTGTTTTGTAGTTGTTGTTTTTTTTAACCTCTCCTAGTAACAGCAGCCCATCCTTATGCACAAAGAAACAAGGTTAACAGTTAAAAATGAAGATAAGCAATTCTGTAAAACCCCAACTAAAACTAAGGTTTACCATATTAACTCCACTTCTACATGCCAATATAGATAACTGGTTGCTACTTACCAAATGTTAAAGAATCTCCAGGCTTGTCTAAGAAACAAAAAGTAGACACATGGTGAGGTGCTGAAGACAGCTCTCTGGGCTCAAAGCACTTTAGATGAAACAGCCTTTATCTTACATTTAAAAGTGGGTGCCTCCTATTACCAAAGCATGGCAGAGTAGAGAGTTTCCACAATCCTGTCTTGACTTTCTGTCTCTGTTTGAGGAGTAACAGTTACCACCGGAAAACGTTAGCAGAAAAACGATCACTTGAACACTCTCACAGGGCAGCTGTAAATTTCCACTCTCTGCTTGCTCTCAGATTCCAAGCCTTGCTTGTCTCTTAATCTGTCACAGGCAGTTCTGTTTCTGGTCAAACCAGCTTGCTTAGGAGTTCTCCTCTCCCTTTCTAACATACTCTTTTAGGTGCCACACAGTCACAGTTCCCTTTATTTCTTCCTCCCTCCCACTCCTGCAACGTCACAAGAATGTGTGTAAAGCAATTAAGGTCGAAACAAATTTAATCCTTGTCTTAAAAAAAAAAATCCTAGGACAAACAAAAAAAGATTTCCCCATCACATTCCCTCCATACATTCTATGCTTGTTCATGCATGGGTTCCTGTCAACAGATTAAACTGGACTGTCATCGTGTTTTAAAAATGTAAAGTTTCTAACAAAGACCTTTGATAATCATGGTAACAGATTCATCTGCTAATGTTAGTTCCTCAGGGAAGACGCTATTTCTAGTTGTAATAAGAAAGTAGAGCAACAAATACTCAAATAGGAATTTAATCTTGAGATTTAAAAAGGAAGATTTCAGAATTATAATATTCACAATATAATGGTGTATAATTTTGTGGAAATTTATTGTATTTTAAAATAGAGTATATTTTGAAAGTTAAATGCAATATTTACATTTATTTATAAAAGGGCATATTTAAAATAGAAAAATACTGACATCAAAAATATTGAATAGACCTGCTTAGATCAGCTATCTGCAAAGCATATTATTTTGTTTACAAAGAAATCATTGCCCATAGTATTACTGGTCCGGATGCATAATACCTCTTCAGTGAGAATATGTCTCAAGGCAGTAACAACAACAACAAAAACAACAAAATAGTATTTTTCCACTATTATAAATGTGTAATTACGGAGTAATGTATTTTAAAATTATCGTTTCGCTGCAAGGATTGTGGATGATGGTTGGTGATAGGCACAGATGGTATTTGTAGGATTCTTTGGAATTAAGAGGTAACATGTTCAGCTAGGAATACATGCTGGCTCTGGAGAATACTAGTCAGAGCCTGCTTTGGAGTTCTGTTCAGGTTTGTTAGCTTCAAAGAATTTTAAATTCTCTGACTTCCACTCTGGTTTTCCAATCAAAATTCTCGACTCAACTCTTCTGATGACACATCTTTCACATACAGAGCTGATGAATTAGTGATTAAACTTATTATTATGTTAATCTTACTCTACAGAACTAAACTATCTTAATAATATAAGCTTAAATAGAGAGAAAGGTAAATATCTGTGAATACTTGTTTGTAATCCCTAAGGAAAAAAGTTAAACCTAAATACATATTTACTTAGAAATATGTATTTCTTAATCTAGTTCATTTAAAATAGACTTTCAGAATTTGTATGTATTTTAATTTGGTTTTACTTAACATCTAAAAAACAGGTATCAAAAAAACTAGTAATTCTCTGGTAATTATTCCTTAAATTAGTTGTTTTATAAAATACAGAGTTTTATTTCCTATTTCAAAAGAAATGTTAAGTGGAAATGATCCTAAATATATCATGTTAAGTAATTCCTATTTTCCCGAGCCTAAGATTGTATTTAAAAAATTCCATTATAACTGCAGAAATTGAAGAATTTGTAAGGGTGATGCTCGGAATAACTACAATGCCAGTTTTTTAAAAGTCACTTTAATACAATGCTAAGAATTTATTTCAGTTTAATTCTAAGGCACAAAACAAAAACAAAGCATTCAAAATACGTAAGTGATCATACTGACTGCATATATCTTTGATTACAAATAAATGCCATTTTTTAAAAGAACATAAAAAAGAAACATAAAAAGCAACCTTATACTAGGCCACAGAGAAATCAATGCATTTCTGAAGGAAACATGACCCAAACTTCATTCTCTGTACATAAGTAAAAAAAAATTGTTATATTTAAAATTTTCAACAGATATGCAAGTGTTCTTTTAAAAACTCTATTAGTACTTGAAAATTTATGAAGACCATTCTTCCAAAAATTATTTGGACAGAGGATTAGAAGTATACTAGAAGGACTTGTGTTTTAGGCTAGACAAGAACTAGATCTATTCTGCAGACTTACATAACTAAAAAAAATTTAATAATATATATAAACACTAATTTTCAGACACTGGACACCTGGCAACTCAGTCCAGTAATCCCTGAGTAAAGGGAAATAAACAAGGTAAGCCTTATAGTTGCCCCCGGCAGCAGAGCAGGAAGGAAAACTCAAACAGTGTGGCAGTCACCCAGAGTTAAAGAGATACAGTTGAATATTCAAGAAAGCCAATGTGACTAAAATTCACAGGGCAGAATACTAGAGAGAAGAAAGCTGCAAAGTGAGCCCCAGAACTACAGAGATCTCCTCAAACTGATCAGCAAATGTCTATGAGAAAACTCTCTAAGGCAAAGGCAAGAACCACTGGAGAAGAAGCAGGCGGAAGAAGTCCAAGTACTCATACAGGGCTGAGAATAGTTCATGTTCAATATCCAGAGTGAAGAAATCTCGTAACAGATGGAAAATGGGTTGAATACCCAGAAGGATGTTGTTAAAGCAGTGTGGCTAAATTAAAGGTTATTGTGGTTCCTCCCAATAGAGTTTCCAAGTAAGTCTTGAAATGATCATATTCTTTGCAAATAACTGTATCCTAGACTAGGATTCAAAATAATTTTTAGTATCTAGCATACAACCACAGAAAGTTCACAAAGCTGGCAACTATTTAAAAATTACCAGGCATGCAAAGAAGCTGGAAAATAAAATGCATACTAAGGAAAGAACTCCATCAAGAGAAACTGGCTTAGAAATGACACAAATAAAAAAGTACACATTTGTACTCAGCTCACTCAGGTGAAGGAGCGTCTGGTGGTAGAGACCAGGATATTGGTCTATCAACCAGAAGAGCATCCTCTTTACAAAAATGAACCAGCCTAAAATGTCAATAGTGGCAAGACTGAAAGCTAACTTCAGCCTGAAGGTACACAATGTTATCAGAGATTTGTCTTTTTGCAATGCTTCTATTTATTATTTTTAAAGATTTATTTATTTATCCATAGAGAGATGGGGTACAGGTCAGAGGTGTAGGGGGTGAGAGGATTCACCAACAACAGAGTGGGGAACAGACTAGGCAGATTGACAAAGTACACTGCTGAGGGGAGCAGTGGGTAAGACAGGAGAGGTATGCTGTGCCATGTGGGTCAGCTCCCTGGCAGGGGATGGAACTCATGCTGAAATGGCTGCAGCTAGCTTCGCAGTGCTATACTCTAACCCCTTGTGCCACCAGGGAGGACCCTAAAATGCTTTCGTTTATATTGTCTTCATTCACAGTTGTGCTCTCTGCTGGTGGCAAAAATGACTCCTGACAGATTACATAGCCATGGTTCCCATTACCTCAAAAGGAAAGAAGCCTTGGAGTTTCTTAGTAACCATTTCAAACCCTAAAAAATGCCAACTCAGGCAAATTCCATGGGCTAATAACCAAATTCACAAGAATGGGGCGTTCTCATTGACCAGCTGGCTGAGTGTATTAGTTTGGGTACTAAGTGATTGACAGGCATTAAGAGGTAGGAGAAAAGCACAGTGAAAAGCTATAAAAAAGCAAATTCAAGTCTATCCAGTGAATAGTTTACTCAGTCAAGTGAAATACTGGGTCAGATTATCTGCACTATGATTTAACTGCAAACATATAGTTGGATTCACTCAGTTACATTTGGGTATTATATAATAATGTTCTGCAGTCCAAACTGGTTGCTCAACATTTTGTATCTATCCTTTTCCCACATCAGTACTTTCAAGAATGATCCTGCCTAATGTTGAGCAAATTCTCCAAATGTGACTAACAGTGCACTCACCCTTGCTTATACTTGTTTTAGTTATTGCCTCCAGCTTCAATAATTTGCTGGTTATATGCTCCTCAAATTTGAAATATCTCCATATGGTCTAGCAAGCTATGGCTCAATCACAAATTTAATCCTCCCACCTCTTCTCCAAAACATCTAATAAACAAGGCAAGGGAAAGGGAAAACAGGACACTGGTACATGAAAATGTGAAGTAGAGAACTATCACCCTAAAATCTATATCATATTTTGCTGCACAGGAAAAGCTAATTTCCCTGCCATTGGAAAAGGAGTGAGTTCCTTAACTACTAAATTAGTTGCCTTTGGTAACTAGATCACTGGGAGAATCGCTTTATCAATTACTTTCCAAAATCACATCTGAGAGGGTCATAGTAGGTAGCCCATTTGATTTTCAGAGCAACCTTATTCTTTTGAATTTTTATTTTTTTAAGATTTATTTATTTATTCATACAGAACTGGGGTACAAGCCAGAGGTGCAGTGGTGTTGAGAGGATTCACCAGAGATAGAGTGGAGAATAGAACAGGCCGACTGACAAAGTACACTGCTGAGGGGAGCCAGTGGGTGAGACAGGAGAGCTCTGCCACGCCATGTGGGTCACCTCTGGGGCTAGGATTGAACTTGCAGTGAAGCGGCTGTGACTTGTTTGGAGTGCTGTGTCCTAACCTGTTGCACCACCAGGGAGGGCCCTGAATTTTTATTTTGATGATATAGTATAGTTATATACTGTAACTATACCTTTTTAAGTATTATAGATATATTTCAATTACAGCAAGTAAACTGACACTGTTTTGCATTCACATTTTCCCCTGCACCATCCATCTACAAAATTGCTTTTATCTTTCAAAACTGATACTATGTACCCATTAGTCCCTCCCAATCCCTGGCCAAGCACCATTCTACTTTCTGTCTATTAATTTGAAAATGAGC